AAAACAACAACAACAACAACAACAACAACAACAACAACAACAACAACAACAACAACAACAACAACAACAACCCAAAAAACACCCCAAAACAAAGCAAACAAGCGAAGTACTGTGGATAGCTAATTGCGACAAAGGCATAGACATTTTGTGTGTATGTGCACTCTTCATGGGCCTCTGGAAAGCAATTACGTATGACCCAAGTCATTTGTTAGAAATCTCAAAGAAATTAAGGGTTGCTCCCCGGCCCAAGCCAATTACTTCTTACCATGCTATCTATTGCGTAGATTCCAGCAACGAGTGTCACGTGACCAACAAAAAGTGTTGCTAGGAAACACAATACTACTGAGGCACGATCTGAATCAAATTTTCTGGACAGGAAGGAAAGGAAAAAAATGTTTGGAAAATTAACTCGTGCTTCACTTCTTTTTCACTGTATTTGGAAATAAAGTAGTATTAAGAGGAGCTATGAGCTTCATTCCAAGCCCTACACAAAAACGTTAATGCTACATGTTGTGGGTAGGAGTGGCTTCTAATGTCATTTTCAACTTTCAACATATAAATGTATTAAAATATGCTGTGGGGCGGGTCTTCCTTACCTATTTGCATAAAGTAGAAGGCCAAAGGTTGTTACTATAAGAACCAGGTAAATTACCAGTACAACCAGCAGGAGATCCGGTAATTTTCCTCTTGTGTTGTACTGCGAGAGACACAGGGATAGAAACCGTATGCAAAAGAATGTTAGAATCTGTTCACCTGAACGATGACTTGCTCTGCTTCTGCAGCGATCTATACCGTTTGTACGAAAGTTTTTAGGGTACGTGCAGTTAATACGATACATGTACATGTAAATGTACATGTTTGAGGCTGCAGGTAGCTTGCAATCTCTCGTCACAGCGCGCACGCGTAGCACTTGCTGGTAACTATAGAGGTTATATAAAGCACGGCAGCCATCTTCCTGGTCAGTGCTTTTGTTATGAGGGATATGCGCAGGAGGTCTATTTTTCATGTGTATTCCTATGGACCAAAAACACTGACCGGGAAGATGGCTGCCGCGCAAAACCTCTATAAGACAACGCAGTGTGAGCTTATGACATGCACAATCACAGAGCTAGCTGTATGTGCAAAGTACCCCTATGTATCAGCGGGAGAGTTTGAACTGCGCATGTTCGATTTTGAGGTTAATTTATACGTAACGCGAGCAACGTGAGTTTGTGCCATGTAAGCAGCTGTTTCATTACATGAAGTTGAAGTCTTTTTCACTTTTGAGAAATAACAGTACTACACAAATGTTTTCATGGGTAGGATTAGGCCCATTCCTAATGTATTTTGCGAAAATAAAGTCGAGAAGTAGTAAAAGGGTGGGCAAAACTAGTGTTTTTTATAAAGCTCTTTTCGTGAAGAGTAATTTATTTACATTTTGGCATGATTTGTGAACGCCTGAAACAAAGAATTCAGTTTTCTTGAAATTTTAAACTTTACATTTTGCTGTAATTAACAGCAAGCGGTGAATAGTTGCATCAGGTACAACACATTTCGTTGGCTCATATTTGCCCAGTAGAGACGATTTTCAAAATATCAGCCTCGTTTTCGACACAGCTTCATTTTGGGCAACTGGGATCATATTGAGGTGTTTAGTGTTGAAACCAAATAAAAATGATTACAAATGTGGTTCCAGGGTAGATGTTTCGATTTCTGAGGGCTAAGAAATTTGAAAAAGCCTGATACCGACCCTCATAAGCCGGCCACGAGACGAAGTCAAGGTTTGCAAAATACCCTAATGTGCGTTCAAACCACGGACGTGTATAACAAAATCTGGACTCGCAATGCCCTTAATCAGCTTATAGGGTCATTGAATCCACTTGCGGCCATTTTACCGAGCCGAATACAAAACTTTCCTGGCAATGCCCACATTTGTTCTTCTTGACGTCAATAGAAAGGAGCCAACCCACGCTTTTGTATTCGGCTCGGTAAAATGGCCGCTGGTTGGCTTCTTTTCCATACAAAGGCGTTGCAAGTCCAGGTTTTTTATATACGTCCGTGGTTCAAACCCGAAACGGATGCTAGATAGAGTCAGGTGCAGTTATAATGGTACCCAGACGTAGCCAAGTTTGTATTACACATATATGTTTTCTGATATGTTCAAGTAAACGATACGCGGGCACAAGAAACAGTTCATTGCAAATTGAACCTCCAAGAGCTGTATCCGAGATCGAATCTCGACAGTCACACCGCTATAGAGGATACAGGATTTTACGTTTTGCACAGGGTTTATCGAAACTGAAAAGGAGCGAAGGGATATGATCTTTTGGAAGTGTGGCCTGACATGTCAGTTCACCGATAAGACTGAGACATCATGGTCAACATGCACGTCAATGTGTGGGCAATATCGAGTTGAGCACGGGCTACTGCCCTCTGGAATGAAGTGGCCAGGTGGGATGGATCACAGAATGGTAAGTATTCACTCTTTGCGTGTTTCGGGTGGCAGTGTGCTTGAATGTTAAAGAGAGCTATTGTTTCGTGTGGTTTTAAAGTACTTGTGTGACAAAGGTGAACAAAAGATGGCGTTTTTCGTCCCAACAAGGCGAGCGTAAACCTCGCCCTCGCAAGGTGCCTTGCCTATCTCCGTTTCTGAGACGTTATATATTGGTGAGGTGTGGAATAGTCTGGTACCTTTACTGCGTGTCACATTTATTATTCTATTATTGAGCGTGGTGTTTAGGAGAGTAAAACAAAATGAAGCCAGATCGGAACACAAGCATATTCTTCCAGCTTGTACGATCATTCTGAAATTTTATTATGCAAAACAGAAAAAGGTCATTTGCCTGTGAAGAGAATAGGATATCAAAACCCATTAAACATGTCGAAATTTGAACCTGGGTGCACAAGATTCGTACATAGATTTTAAACGAAGATATACTTTTAGAAGTATAATTTAGGGTTTGGTATCTAGACCACAGTTGAACTTCCGCTAGCGAAGTCGACCCAGGTTGATAAAAGGTATGTGTGCTGGTTTCCCGTTTCGTTTTAAGGGAACTGGACAGGCGAACCTCGTTAACCTCGAAAGCAAAGGCATGGTCAGTAAGTAACGACCCCAGTCTACTGCGGCCAATACACGAAAGAACCGACGTGTCAAATCATGTGCGCAAGCCGACGTGTTGGCTCGTTACATTGTTGAAAGAAATTTAAAATTAATGAAGTTAGATAGATGAAGTTATCGACTCCATCCTAGCGTCCCTTACTGGTAGAACGGTGCCCTGCTTTTCAGTTACAAGGCAAGTAACAATTTTCTCTTGAATTAATTAACGTGTGACGTCATGTCTACAGGGTTACTCCCTTTTAGATGCAGCACAAACACGTGAGTTATTTTTGCAAGCGTCAGCACATTCAAAATTGGATAAAAGTGGCGACCAATATGCCAAAAATACTAAGAGAAACAGAGGAACTGCAGTTTTTGATTTATGATGCACGTTGGGAAATCAGAAAATTGAAGCATTATTTAAACACACCCAAATATGTTCGCAGTTATTATCGACAGCTCCCGACTATTAACAACATGAGTTCGGAAAATGCCAGTCAGTTTCGGAAATAAAAAGGCTCGGGAGGAATAAATCTCGTTTTTGTCACGTGGTCGCAGTGGTACCAGACGTAAATAGTTCTCGAAATAATCGCTATTTGGTATTTTAGCCCGAGTTTTAGACTATAAGTTGTTGGTAATAACGTGTGACTACGCTCGTTCACGCACACCTTTCACTTTTTAGTAAAATCACAGTCTACCAGCGTACCAATTATTTTTACTGTTTGTAGTGCAGAAAATAATAGATAGCAGGTCAGCTAAGACCAAGTTAACAAGGACGGTTTTCAGAGATATAATCAGGTTTGAGAGGTTTAAAGGTAATGTTAATTTGTGACTTTTCCTGGTTTTATGCGAATTGGGTGGTCCCAACTCACCTTGCCGATAACGGCAAATGTTGTCAGGTGGGTACAGCGACACGTCACGGTATTGTCTCCGTTGAAGACAGGTTTCTCGCATCCTACCAAGTCCTCCGTCCAGACTCTGTAAAGGCCACAAAGAAAATCAATATGTAAGCAAGCAAAGGTCACCGACTAATGACCTGGGACAAATTTTGATGCCCTGCAACTTCTGATCAGACGCTGCCGTTCATTCACCAGTGTGTTGAGATAGAATGTATTTTCATATTCTGTATTGGTCCTTGCGATGACAGTACGTTTACATCAGTCCAGGCTCATCTCGTAGGGAATAACTGCATATCACGTGCGATGCTACGGACCCACAGTGCACGTAATGGCTTTTCTATATGCCTGCTTTGAAAAATAAGTCCAGGTGGGATTCGTATTTAAATTTAAGCTGCATGCCATAACAAAAGAAATGACCAGATTGACAATACAATCTTTGATTTGTGATGTCGTGATTCGTACATCCTGCCTTTGATAGATTTAGAGTAGATGACAACATTCAAATATTGCTTGAATTAATTTCTGACTTTTTACCCTTTCCTATTTCGCTCGTGTGCGCTTTTACTTTATTTCAAAGTTTTTTCTAAAAGTACTACTCATCTAACTTTGTTTTAAAAGCACAAAAGGACAAGTTTAACAATGATATATGTATCCTCTGGACGTTATTCTCTATTGAGCTGACAGTCAATGCATTTATAATAGCTATTGTTCCCTTCCCAGAGTGGCTTCACTTGCTTCGCTCTACTTACTGGGAACTGCGTTGATACGCTCATGGAAGCAGTAGCCAACAGAGGGCGATGCAGCAAAATTTTGTTTCCGAAAAATAATGAAATTGCTTAGTTCCACAACTTCGAACCGGCGAAGAAACGACAAGGCAGAACACACGACAAGACCGACGTGCATCGTCTTCACGCAATTCTCCACAATTTCACACGACACGTCAAGATATACCAATTAAATTGATTTTATTCTTGCAACCGTGGAGAATTTTAGTGACACTTAGGCTTAGTTCTCGCGGCTTGTTCCCGGATGTTCACGAACAAATCGATTTGTTGTTCGTGGGTCGGCCGGTCGAACGCCGGGGCTGTAGTGGCAAGCAACGTGCAGCATGGCGGCGGCCATGTGCGTTCTTCGAGAGTTAATGTTTGGATGGGCTGAATTCTTTTGTATTGAAACAGGAATATTCATTTCTGTGTTATGGAAAATAATTAATATTAATTTGGCAAAACTTCCCATTGTCTTCGGCTTTAGAAGCCATCTCTCTACTTTTTTGCAGCTAATCAAAATCAAAATCTCATGAGTTGTTTCGTGTGTTCCCGTAAAACCCTGACGAGGAGGTGATGTGTGATCCTGTGTCAAAAACAGTGTTCTTCAGTCGTGTTCGCGCCGTTCGAGCGCTAGAACCAGAAACCTGTGTCAAGAACAGGCCACCTGAACTCGACCATATCCGTCAACAACCGATCAATTTTATCTCATACACAGAATATAATTTTTGCAGACGTCTAAAGGGAAAACTGACCAACATTTTGTAGGGGATGAGTTGGTCGTCAAACGAACTAAGCCAACATCAGCTTTACCTGGCTGGGTCGCTGAAAGCAAGAAACGAACAGGTGGAATTTGGCAGTTCCGGCTCGTTCTGCATCTGTATGGTGACGCTGTCGGTAAACGTCGTTGTCAAGGCGGGAAATATGCTGCACGAGACCAGAACGGAGCTGATATTCTCCGTGTTGATACTGTAGTAACACGAACAAATAAAAACCATTGATGTCAAATGGTGTTTACAGTTGGATTTCCATTCAAACTGGAAGGAAAATTAAGAAATGCTCCTCAAATAAGGGTCCATTTGCTAAAGAATCAATTGCCGTGTAACATATTGCTCAGTTTAAAATGGCGGCATTTTTTAGGTGAGAGAAAGGCGATATGTCTTTATTTGATTTCTCTTCCTTGTAAAAGTGTATAAAAAGGGGCAAAATGCAACGTTAAGCCTCAGGAAGCCATGGTTATATTACGGAATCCCAAAACGTTTTGCTTCCTTGCTTCCATTTATTGCAAGTCCCCTATATTGATCCCGCTTGTGGCATTTCTATGCTACAAACAGCCTAAAACTGTTTGTAGTGTGCAGAAAGTGCTCCCATTAGAAAAACGTGTTTTTATGTGTTGGTTATCAACATCCAAACGAGTCTTTGTGTCTAAATTGCTAATTCACCAATAAGTCTCTGGTTTAAAAAGAATTGAATCTCACAACGTCTTTGGTCGGGATTATTTACACCACAACAAGTTCAAGTGTTTACCAGAAAGGCGTTTAAAAGACGTTCAAACATAAACACTTGTTTTTACGGTGTGTGAAAATTGGGCGTTTGAGTGCATGCGCACAGTGCGCGTTTGCAATGTGTCCCCCGGCGGCGTGCAAACCGTCTTGGTAGTCTTAGTCAAATTAACGTCAAAGAAGAAACATAGACAACACCCCCACCCCAGAGGAAAAAATTAGGAATATTTTACGAATTACACATGCAGGTAACGCTACAGAGAGAAGCTGTTTCTATAGTAACATGCCCACTATCGCGGATTATATGTCAATAGTACCCAAAAATAACGAAATGGGTTTGGAATACTTCGGCCGCATTCGACAGTGACCCTGGCGGCTAACGGACCGGAAGATTTCCAGTGTCACTGACCTTGCAGGGTCCACCTGGGAAGGAACCAGGCTCACAATCGTTGAGGCGAAAACCAAGGTGGCGACACTGGTATTTCTATCGGGACCTAGATTTGGAAACCAAAAAGGAAGGTACATTAAGGGACCACCCAAAGGACATCGCCTAAATTGCTTTACCTCTGTCTCTAAATTCAATAGCCCAGACGGATCTCGTGACCGGTCGATTCAAACTCGTATGCCCCGCTGCCTTGAGCAGCATCACAACTTGATTGGCAATGCATTGCTTGTCCCCGCCTCACAGTCCATTTTTTCTACAATCGAAAAATGGCTTCGTGGAATTTTTTGGGCTGGAATTTTACAACTCTGTGTAAATTCCCTATATCGAGGGCTGAATTTGCCCAAAGCTTCGATTCTCCCCACCAACCTGACTCCTCGTCGGAGGTGCACTTCAACCGATCATAAAATGTTGGAGCAGCGAACTGGCAGTAGCCTTTTTAAAGCATGGCCCCAATAACTGTTTGAAGCGCAAATGTGGACTAATAAACAACAGATTTTACCCAAACCAAATAGCACCCTCTAGGCTAATGCGATCAACTGTCTCAGAGCACATACGTCAGTCAACAGCTGATGCTGTCTGAATGATGTAGCTATATATCGCTGGAATTGCTTCAATTGAGACAAATAGTGTAAAGAAATGAAACTAAAAGTATAAGCAAACAATTCCTGGCTGATGTTTTGGTGTTGGACATGGTGTTTTAACAAGTGAGGGACTGTATGCCGAGGGTGATAAAAAATATCAGATCCGCATTACGGCAATCAAAAATTGTTAAATTAACGCCATCAACCATAAAGGAGCAAAGCAACACATGTAATTTGACATTTGACACTGTGATCTTAAATGCCAAAGAAAAAAAGCAACAAAAGTGCTGTAGTAAAGCAACCTTTCATATGTATAAGAAATATACATCTCAAGACGCAGAAAAATAACCAGATTCTTCATTATCCATCTTTCCGGTAAATCAGATTGTGTCCATATTGTCCGAGCAAACACAACCACCCGTCAAACTGGCGAACAAAAGGTGCTTTCGTGTGCTTTTTGGCAACACTAATTTTCTCGGCCGTGTTGAGGACGCAAGTTCAGGGACTCTAGATACACGGATGTTAATAGTCTCCTGCAAATATTTGGGCCCGCTGATGAGAAAAGTATCACCTTGTAGACTGGAGGTCTAAGTCATTTTTACAGGCCGATTCGGGTGTGCAGATGACAACTAGTGATTGAAAGGGCCGCAGTAATGACTTTTTTTACAGAGGCTTTGCTACATAACTTTTAAACTCCCCTTCTTTGAAAATTATATTACCCCCCCCTTCGTGTTGCGTTTACTTGGAAATGCATTTTTGAAACGTATAAAACTTTCGATTCTTTACTGGAAAACTGACGGCGCTATTGCTGTACATGATGTACATCTGGGAAGATAATAAAATAATAATTTGTTTAAAAATTTTGAAACTAAAATTTGCTAATTAAAAACATTAGTTATTTATCATGTACTTCCACGACTATTAATAACCCAAAGAAGGAACAAAGCATTTTTTGTTCAAATGACATTGGGGTTTTCTTCCCGGGATGATTTCACAGTTCTGCTTATAAAGATAGAGTTTCCATTGGCATGAAACCTAAAGTGGAACCCTAATAATCTCCTTTGAAACTGCAAGACAAAAATCCAAACAATAAAGTTATTAAGATACAGAGGTTTGCTAGCGAAGGCTGTTTCGAAAAATACATTGCGCATGATTGTAGCCGGGGGCTGGGACCCCCCCCGCGGAAAAACTGAAAATTAAAAGGGGAAAAAGGATGAAATAGAATGATTGCCAATTTGCTGGGAAAAAACTCTCAAACTTGACCAGTTTTTACCATTAATGGTTCATCAGTTCGCTGCTGACGCGATTGCTTTGCCCCCTCCCCCGGAAATCGCCCTGGGAAGAAGTGGTGCCCCCCCCGAACAAAACCTGGCGACACCCATGTCATTGCATGATCCCTTTAAGCTCACGGACCCATCCCGTACTCGTAGATGAGCGTACAGTTCATTTCAGTTTGATTGCATGCATATGGCACGATATCGCCCTCTAGGGTCGATGTCGGTGTTTGTATCGGCACACTACAGTAGCTGCTGTTGATATTTAACGCTCACTCCTTTCTGTGGATTTTGGCTCTTTAGCGAGAAAGATTAATGAAAATATGCCTGTACCAAAACTTTGTTCTCAAGACCTCAGAAAAATGCACTTTTCCAACATATCTACATTTTCAGCAAGGAGCGAACATGTGAATGTGTGTGCGGTTGAGACAATGTCCCTCCTGACAGCAAAGCATAAAATTTTGCTTGGGAACAATACTTTCTATTTCTCTCTTTACCTTGTCGAGCAAGTACCGTCCGGGGAATGATCACCTTTGTCGAGTAGTCACTAAATTCGTGGGTAAGGTCTCGGCTATCGTGCACTACTTCGAAGATTGATTCTGCGGACAAATTGAAGCACGACTGATATATAAACGCTCATTTGCACAGCCAAACAACAACAACAGTAGGCGGTAACGGAAAGCGACTTATCCACAAGATGTAACCCTCCATAACAGCAACGGTACCCTAAATAATTAAAGGCACGACGAAGCAATCTACCTTCCCAGCAGACCAAGGAATCACACATAACGACTCCGACAATGGACTGATTGTGTGTCATAGGTGCTGTTTACCAACATATATGCCAGCTTTCGGTGTAGTGCTCAGCACATCAGTAGTCTGAGTACTCAACCGATCGCCGGCTTCATTTTTGGTAAATGACAATTATGACACACTTTGTTAAGGGGGGACGCAATGTTAGCTGATGTTTGTAGGTCACAGGACTTACCGGGCGCAATCGGTCTATTGTAGAAGCAAATAACAAAAAGGAGGTCTTGCCAAGTAGGCCATGTCGATTCCTGAAAGCATATTAGAGTTATGTGTAACACCAGGTAGCGGAAATTATGGCCGCCAACGAAAATGGTCCATAATGCCGCGAACTTACTGTAGTTGGTATGTGACACTGTCAGGGGGCCTTGTCCCGTGCTGTCAAGGTGAGACGTGATCACGTCCCCGTAGTTTTCAAAGCTTTCCAAAAATGTCAGAAACAGATTCGCTCCTCTGAACTGGAAAAGTAGCAGAAAAGAAAGCACACACAATTTTAACAAAAATAAACAATCAACATTCATCATCCAAGTAAAAGTGGCGTGTAAAAATACGGATTGGTTTTTCATTTGTGAGTTATCGACCTATTTTGTTGTCTTTACATGTAAGGAATCCTGAATAAAAGTGATTGAGAGGATGCAGTTGTCTTTGTAGGTAAGAACTCACGTAATCATCCTATAAATCGATGATCAGGAGAGGCCTCCGTACAATAATTGTAGTTTTGAACAATGGCGTACGAGTTCTTTGGAATTTACACAAGTACAGGAAACAGAACATAACTATCCCGAGTGAATGGCATTGACAGTTCAGAGACAGCCACCCAAGAAAGAAAACGCCTTGTAACATGCACCCCTTGATTCAAGTATTAGTTAGAAAAAGAAACTGCTCGGGGTGTACAGAACTCGAAATATCCTCGTTTTTCTATATAAGCTGCCATGGGTGAAAATGAGCAAAAAGATGAATCAGCAAACCAGTGATTGCACAATAATCAACGTTTACTCTTAATGTTTAATTCTCAGCAAATTCATTTACTCACAGATGACGGAATCTTTTTCGATTTTGCCTATTAGTTAAGGCAAAGAGTCTTTTGGCGACTGGAAACGTTCATGTGTGTTTTTCTACCCTTCCTTCTACATAATAAATGACCGCTTCTGTTTGCAGCACGCGAAGATTTTCCTCCCTAATGCTTGCTCCCATAAACAGTATGCAGCCTCTTCGCACTCACTCAAAAACACATTGCAGATTTCTCTCCAGTTAAAAGGCTTCTCGTGTTCGTCAATGTCAGTAAACAGCATGCAGTTTCTACTCACGCAGGAATCTATGGCAAGGTCCTGTTTAGTTACAAGCCTTTTTCGTGTACAGTTTTTTTGTGCCATGAGGGTTTTTTTCACTCACATTAATGACATTCTATGTCAGCGGATGGCAGCACTGCTGTTGATACGCCAGAAGGCCGTTGAATATTGGGTGCAGCCCTTTATAATGTTTAGCTTAGCGTAGTGACGTGTGTTGCAATCTGAGGCTTCATTCCGTAAATGCGTTTTCAGTGTGCCTCATTTCCGTACGCGTACACTGCGGAGAGTGGTCATTGAATATTGTACAGAATTGAAATACGGGGAAGACATTAATTATTATTTACATAAGCAGGGTGCAGCTTTCATCATTTCTGCTGGTTAAAGAACCTCGTTTTTCGTTGTTTTATATTTATTTCATTTTTATTTAGATAACTTTTTCGGGCAAGAAACATGGACAAATGACAACACATTTATAAAAATTACAAATATTAAGATAAAAACTTCAAACAGAGATCGTACACTCAAAATTATATAAATATATACAACAAAAACAAGAAACTTGAACAAATCTCTTGAATAGCACAAAACACAAAGCCCAAAAATGTGCCATGTGCGGGCCCGCGGGAAGCATGCCTGAAAAGCCGAATTAAGGCTTATCGAAAGGTTCCCGACTCCATCAGCATAATCTCGTAAAGAAAAACGAAAAGAAAAAGACATTACAAGAAAGGATAAGCCATAAAACCCACTGAAGATGGTTGCAAGTGCCTGTCCACGAATAGACTACACGAACAATACAAAAAGAAAGTAAATGATAAAATCCAACCTCAAATAACCCAAACCCACATAGAGAAGCAAGCCAAGGAACCCCTGCTTCAGCAGCGACTGCATGGTGCACAGAATGATACTTAATATACATCCACTAAACTGTCTAAAGCGGGTTTAAGCATCGTTTTTAAACTGTTCAAATTAAAAAGAACTAACTTGTTGCGGGAGCGAAATCCATGTACGGGAAAATCTAAGAAAAACCGAATGTTTAAAAGCACCAGTTCTGGCAATCGGGTAATTAAAATGACGTGTGTCATTTTTACGACTATTGATCGATAAATAATGGAAAACTGGTTGATCGTATAGCCCATACAAACACACCCATGTTTACGTTACATACCTACTGTGGACATTCCTTTGTTTTCGTGCAGTTAAGAAAACTCAGTGAAAATACTTGTTTTTCTTGAACTGGGGACACGATTTTCAGCTGGCTTTTTGTACAAGGTTTCGTTGACTATTCCTCTTCCTTTTAGCATAGATGACCCCTACCCCAAAATGCCTTTAAACGTCTTTTCCAGAGAGGGGGGAACCTTGTGTGGACATGAGCAAGTCCACACAACGCCATCGTACCCTGCATTATGTGGACTTCTTTTGTGCAGATGTCCACACTATGTATGCCACGCCTGTACAAACAAATATGTAAGAGAGATACCACATTCTTAAATGAAGTCACGATTTGCCTAAACTAACTAGGTGATAACTATATGAAGCAGTGCGTTCATCGAAAATAGTCCTAGTTAGTTTATGTTTTATACGCCCAAGTGAACAAATAACAACTTCCAAAACATTATTATTGACATGATACATTCTTGATACTGGGGTTCTACATCTAATGACGTGCATAATTTTACATTTGTTGCTGTTTAAGTTCATCTTATTTTGCACACTCCAGGTATGAATCGTATCAAGGTCATTTTGCAGAATCACTTCATCAGTAGGAGTGTTGATAATGCGGTAACGTATCTTTAGCATAGGCCTTCTGTGGCACTACAGACTGAACACAATGGTACATCAAAGACAAACACATTAAACAAAACTGGTCCAAGAAAAAACCATGAGGACCCCAATAACGACCCCTCGCCCAGGATGAGCAACATCCCTTCAAGGTCACCCGTTGCGAGTCAGGTAACTACACAGCCACTGTAAGGTGCTGCCACATATATTGAATTTAAGAAGTTTCTGCAACCAAAGCTGGTGATCGACCTCATCAAAGGCCCGGGACCAGCCTCGAGGGGGGCTATGTTATCCAAAGTTTCTGCCCAATGATGGAATAAATCAGACACCCGAGTAACACAAGCTTTACTTTACCAGAAGCCATGATGAGTTGTTGACTGGACATCGTGTGGGGAAATATGCCGATAAAGTCTATCTAAACAACAGTCTCCAGAACCGAACAAGACAGTAACAGAACATAGCGAAATCGGGCGATAATTACATATATCATTTTCGTTGCCTGACTTATGTAAAGGAACAACATTGGCACATTTCCAGTCAACCGGATCAAACCTGAACGTAAAGACATATTGATTATTTTGCATAAGGTACCAGAAATTTAGGAAGCGGCAAGTTTCATCATCTTAGGTGAGATCTCGTCGGGACCAAAAGACGTTTCTTGCTTTAGGTATAACAGAATTTTTGGCACTTCTGATGAGGAAGCAATATGTCACTCAGGAGTGGAGCAGCACGCTGCATTGCACCACAATTGTTAAACAAATGAGCACAATCAGCGGTATAGGAGCCAGCTAAAAATTACTACAGAATCTTGTCCGCAAATTTCTTGACCATAACTGACTTCACTGCCATAAATGACAAAATTGTCACAAGCTGAGCTAGACCATTTCAACTTGTGAAAGACCGGAACTGTTTTGGATCATGATGACAGCTGTCTGATAAGTCAAAAACATATTCTGAACAGGCCTGCCTTGTAAATTTTCTAACCTCGTTTCTGCAGGTCTAATACATTTCCCATTTCAAACGTTTTGTTTACTACAAATGGCCGATTTATATTATCAGTTCTTGGATTTAGACAATCTAAGGACCTCAGGCGTAATCCCCGGAACTTTGCGTTTCCCTTTAATCTTTATTTTGGGAACGGCATTGCTAAATGCAGGAGGAAAATGATCCTTCAATCCAGCTCGAGTATCAATAATATCACCCTCAACAGTGCATGTATCCCAGGGGACACTTGACATCACCTGATGAAATTCGTTCATATCAACCTTGGAAAATTGATGAATATAACGCGAGATAAACCGAAGGAGACTTAGAACATTTCATCTTGGAACAAATAATATCATGATCACTATTGATTTTATAGTTGATTCACCGCATACATGTAGAAATGAGCTCAAATGTCATCAATTAACTACATGTTCAGTCTACATGTTAAATCCTATACCAATAGACTATGACGTAACAATTTTCAGTATGCATGTATGTGGAATTATGTATCCCACGGGATGAGGCTTTAGGCCTACGCCATGTTAAACTTGTATTTAGTGTGAGCCAACTGCGTCTCTTCATTTTGACCTATCACTCAGTTTTTGTATCCTTGTGAAACTGAAAATGGACGTTTATTTAAAGTCTGTAACTCAATTGTGGCTCTAGCAGCATACTTTCCAGGGGAATGGATGTTTGCATAAACCATGTAAAATTCACGTCATGTAGCATTTTAACAGGTCGCATACACTTCCAGACACTGCTCTCGCGTTGCCCCCCAACCAATGTGCGATGTACGTCATGCAAGACACAATCACCCCGCGCAGGGTGACAGGGAGGGCCTGCTGGGAGTAGCAGCCCGTTTCCTAGGAGGTTTAATTGGCGCCGCCTCGGGGCGCAAGTATGGCCTTTCTTGTTTATAGGCTAGTTGGATAACGAGGGCTTGTGATTTACCCATGGCTGATGTGACACTCGACTACAGCACTTGTGATGTGCGATGTGAGATTCTGTCACATTCTGTCTCACTTCCTTCCACAGACTCGTCAAATAAGTGCTTGAAAAAAAAAAAAAAAAAAAACCTCTTCTCCCTGTACACCACCTTGTTCATTACTTCTGAATAAATTAGATTTTGTTTGATCGCTGGATAGAGCAGGAATTAATTGAATCATTTGCATTTCGCATATTCAGCAGTATATATGGACACACCGTCTACGCAGTTCCCAACATTATTAACGTCAGAAAAGGGGGCGAATAATTTAAAAATGAAATATACGCTTATAAAATGAAGCGTGTGTCGGGGTTGAGTATTTAACAATAACTTTACAGCAGGATTTTTCAAACCGTGGGAAATTTGCAAAGCGGCGGTAATTTACGATTCTCATTTATTGAGACTAGTTGCACAATAT